TTGACCCTCTAACTCTAGCACTCTCTATTCTAGTTCTATTCTTTAAAAAAAAAAAAAAAACCTTCCCTTTTAGACTTGCACTTCATTCGTTTGCTGCTTGTTTTCTTTAAAAAAAAAATTATTATATTCTATCCGTTTTCTTTTCATTTATTATACAATTAACAAAAGCAAAAAGACCTCTAACACTAGCTTGCTCTATTCTTTTTCTATTCTATCGGTTTTCTTTTTATTTATTATATTATTTAAAAAACCCTTGCTACGTGTACTGCGTTAAGCTAACTGAGACTTGTTATAGCCCTTGTATATCATTGCTCTTTTGTTTATTTTGATTGCTTCTATTGTCCTCATTCATAAGTCGCTTTGGATAAAAGCGTATGCTAAATGACTAAATGTACTTTTATATTTGATTAATGTTCTATTTTGACCCCTTATAGTATGTGACCCCTTACGTTTTTTTGTTGGTTTTTTTTTAGGGAGGGGGCACAATAATACTATTCTGCTTAGGGCACCCATTTGGCCAGCACTGGCCCTGGGCAGAAGTATTCCTTATATGTCCAGAACCTATATTTATCTTATATAACATATTTTTGGCTCATATACAACACAGATGTAATCCATCTCTCATTGGATGAATCACTGCACCACCCCTTACGATGTGACTATATAATGTTGAAGTAATAATAAACTTTGAAGAAGTTTATGAACGGACAATTGGCTTCATGTTCATAATTCTTTCCATGGGCCAATGCAAGGACTGAGAATAGTTGGACGGCATCGAAAGATAAAGAGCTAAGATATTCTTAACACCTACGCTATGGGAAACTTTCAGTGCATGTGCTTTGTGTGTGTGTGTGTGTGTGTGTGTGCGCGCAAGTACCGCACCGAGTTGTTTTTCATTGCCTATCTTGCTTAAAGGTGACCGATTATGCAAAAATCACTTTTATAAGGTGTTTGAACACCGTTCAATAATTTTCTCCTGTTAAATTCGGATAAGACATATATATTACTTATTGGACCAAAAAACAGTACACAATCTCTTGGATTACAATTTGCAGATAGACAGATGTACTGTTACTTCCTCTAGTCAAATATCTGGGTGTTATATTAGACAGCAACTTGTCTTTTGAAAATCATATTTCCCATGTTACAAAAACAGCATTCTTCCATCTTAGAAACATTGCCAAGCTACGAAACATGTTACCTGTTTCTGATGCAGAAATCTAGTTCATGCATTCAACTTTGCTAGAAGTTTGATTGCATCATATAATAATTGCTGTTAATAGTGTTCATCGTCTGTTTGATTACATCTTTAATTGATTTTTCCGTACATTTCTGCCATATGTACATAAACTGACAGTCACCACTGATAAGCTACTACTAAATATTGTAGAAACTTAATTTTCTGTAAAGTTGCTTTGCAACGATTTGTATCGTAAAAAGCGCTATACAAATAAACTTGAATTGAATTTTTATCGCGCCATAATCCCCATCTGTGTAATTTATAAACGCGCATTTACTATGCACAGTACAGTCAGATTGCGTGATATTGTCCTGTTTTGTTGTTGCCGGTATGCCGGAGCATGAGCTCTTGAACCTCTGCCCTCTTCTGAAAAGGCGGGAGCACCAGCTCATTTGCATTTAAAGAGACAAACACAAAAACGGCACGTTTTGGCTCATACCCTAAAAGTGCCAATTTCAACAAGATATAAAAATTTATCTGTGGGGTATTTTGAGCTAAAACTTCACATACACACTCTGGGGACATCAGAGACTTATTTTACATCTTGCAAAAAGGGGCATAATAGGTCACCTTTTATTTTCTCATTCATGCATTTTTCTTTATCAATCTAACGTATCAATAACTTTAAGTACTGCTCTGCCTAAATATAGTTTTACATATCTAAGTGACCAACACCAGAGAACACACGACTTCTCCCCTGCTCCTCCGGTAGTTGGGCTGTCAGAGCCATAGCCTGCAGTACTTTCACGTATCGTGTAGCAGTGCTTGGTGTATACTCACTGACCTGAGCTTGAATTCCGACTCAAGGTCTTTTCTCATTCTCCTCTCTCCTGTTACTTCTTGTTGCTAAAATCCGGGCCTTGTCCAAAAAATTTATTGGCTTATACAATTTGACAAATTAAAAAACTTTTGGCAACTCTTTTTATGAATGTCTCTGATAGCCATACTTTTTAGTATCAACAATGGTTTACATCAGTAGTTTGCACTGCTGTACAGTTGTAAGGCTAAAACGACATACATAAACCCTCCTGTGTCTGATCTCTTCATGAATAATTCATGACAACCCGATCCTCATAAATGAAACATCATTGTGCAGTCATTGGAACATGCAGAGTAACATCATTGTGCAGACTGCAGAGTATTTCAAACCTGCACAAATGCTCTATGTCATCTGTGTGTGTGTACCTGTCTCGCACAGCCAAAGTGATCTTCTCTGGGCTGGCATTCTTAAGCTCCTTATGTGCATTATCACTACTCCAGCCAGCACATGGTTTGCCATTGATCTGCAGAATCTGATCACCAAACCGCAACCCTGCCAGTGCTGCAGGAGTGTAAGCCTGCACTAATTGCACAAACACGCTCTGAAACACACATTTGGAAATGTTAATCAGAGATTACCATTATACTATTGGGGTGTAATGCTATGATGTGAATGTCATTACTTAAAGGGGTCATATGATGCTTTTTTAAAGATCATTATTTTGTGTATTTGGTGTAACAGAATATGTTGACATGCTTTAATGTTCAAAAAACACATTATTTTTCAAATACTGTACATTATTGTAGGTCCTCTATGCCCCGCCTCTCTCAAACGCTTCGTTTTCTACAAAGCCCCCTCCTTGACACAGTGATGAATATGTGTTTGCAGTACACAAGCCATGGTTAAGACAGCTGACTCCACTGTGAGTGTCTCTCTCTCTCTCTCTCTCTCTCTCTCTCTCTCTCTCTCTCTCTCACGCACACACACACCGCTCTCTCTCTCTCTGTCGCTCGCTCGCGCGCGCACACACACACACACAGCTCTCTCTCTCGCTCGCGCGCGCATGCGCGCACACACACAGCTCTCTCTCTCTCTCGCTCTCTCTCTCTCTCGCTCGCGCGCACGCGCACACACACACACCGCTCTCTCTCTCTCTCTCTCTCGCTCGCGCGCGCACACACACACACACACACACACACGATGCGCAAAACTCCGCATTTGAACAGTCAATAGCAAATACTTAAACTAATAACAAAACAGTAGCTGATTCTGAATTACCTCCTCTCCTAGGTTCACGAAACGGTCGTCCATAAAATGCATTGCTGTTCTGTTGTAAGTAATCTTAAAGATTCCTAAATGCATCTACTTTCGGAAGGCCAAATAAAGTGCTTTTGCTTTCGCCTAGAAACACACAGCGTCTCCCTGACATGGCTGCTTCAACACTAACTGCGGTTACTGAAACCACGCCTTCTTTCTTTGCGTGAACATTTGGGCGGCATTATGCAAATATTTCCACATAGTGAGGTAGATATGTGGGGGCGTGTTAGAACGAGCCGTTTTAGGGGGGCGTGGCAGAGTCTTAACTTTGATAAAGAATATCTCTTTGGTTTTGAGACTTTAGTCTTTGCAACTTCAGGGATCTTATCTATGCACAATCAGCTTGTAACACTCCAAAGAGAAAGGAAAACTTGAAATCGCATCATATGACCCCTTTAAAACATAGAATACTGATACACAGAATACACATCTAAATGTTTTATATATTTTTCACCTAAAAAGTGCAGACTATTGCATAGATTCTCTTTTGTTGGACCACTGCTGTTTTTATCTTAATCTAGATTAATAAATTACATTAATTCAAATGTAAAATTTAAATTATTCATATCATTAAAGAAATACATTATCTATGACTTTGAGGCGGAGGCCAATCTTCCCATCCATGTCTTTGCAAAGCACCACCTCCCGTACACCCTGTCGAATCTCTGCCCTCTTCACCCCCAGGTCACTTCCTGTTATGGGGGCTGCCGCCCAGCTCATTCTGGGTATGCAGACACTAAGAGTCTAAAAAGCATTGGGGAATATATTACTATACTGCAAAAATTATTTTGTCAAATTACCCAAAATATACTTCATGCAGTAACATCTTAATTGGTTTTATTCAAGACAAATTTTATTATTTAAAGTGACTGCAATCAAGCTGACATTAAGTTATACCAACGAAGGTAATTTTCAAAGATAAAAACAGCTTCTTAAGGGTGTAGTATGTAAAATTGACAACTAGCGGTTGAAATGGGTACTGCAGTCAAAAATTCAAAATATTGTAGAGAGTCGTTTGTCCCACTTCAGACCTGATGCTCACGCAGGTTGCCAGATTAGGACACGCAAGAGGAATGAGCGCAACTGACAATGGAAGGCAACAAGTCTTACACACAAACAAGTCTGCGTTTTAATATTCCTCTGGTTATAGAGCTTTTTATATGAATGCCAAGGCTTTTTAGGTCGGGTAGAATCTGCGATCTCTGACCCAGTTCGTTTCCTGTTGCTTGTTTCCTTGTTTACAGATCTTGTTCACCTAAATCTAGTTTCGTTCCTTGTTTTCTTTTGTGAATATACGCCCTCTGTTTCATTCAGATTTTTGTCAGTTCTTATTTTAACACTGCCTGTGTTTTATTATCAAATTAAACGGATAGTTCACCCAAAAAAAAAATTCTGTCTTTAATTACTCACCCTCATGTCGTTCCAAACCCGTAAGACCTTTGTTCATCTGCAAAACACAAATTAAGGTATTTTTGATGAAATCCGAGAGCTTTCTGACCCTGCATAGACACCAACGCAACTGACATATTCAAGGTCAAGAAAGGTAAAAAAGGACATTGTTAAAATAGTCCATGTGACATCAGTGGTTCAACTGTAATGTTATGAAGCTACGAGAACACTTTTTGGGTGCAAAGAAAACAAAATGAATGACTTTATTCAACAATTTATTCTCTTCCGTGTCAGTCTTCGCCGCATGTTCAGAAGAGTACCACGACGCAAGCGTGTGGTGCTGCTGACGCAGGAGCCGGCATTCTGACGTAGAACCCAGATGCGCTATGCCTTATTTACAAGCAGATGAAGATGCACGCTGTACACAAAACAGTCTTCGTAAACATGTCTGAAGATTTCGACAGAGAGGTTGACTTGCATTTTTTTGCCCAGCCTTACTTATTTGAACCAGAATATACAGACGATGAACTAAGAGAGATGGACGTTCTATGTCAGAACGCCGGCTCCTGCGTCAGCAGCACCACACGCTTGCGTCGTGGTACTCTCGTGAACGCGCATCGAAGACTGACATGGAAGAGAAGAAATGTTTTAATAAAGTAATTTCATAAAGTAATTTTGTTTTTCTTTGTGCACAAAAAGTATTATCGTAGCTTCATAACAGTTACGGTTGAACCACTGATGTCACATGGACTTTTTTAAACGATGTCCTTACTACCTTTCTGGACTTTGAATGTGTTAGTTGCATTACTGTCTATGCAGGGTCAGAAAGCTCTCGGATTTCTTGGATTTGTGTTCCAAGATGAACGAAGATCTTACGGGTTTGAAACGACATGAGGGCGAGTAATTAATGGCAGAATTTTCTTTTTTGTGTGAACTATCCCTTTAAGCTGTGATGTTTTGTAGTTTCCTGTGGATTTTTGCCTTCTTTTATCTTTTTTAGTCATGGATTATTTTCATTATTTTTGCAAAAAAGTAAATTATTTCTGTAGTAAGTACTTTTTAAAAAATACTGTGAGTGTTTTTGTGTTATTTTTAAAATGTGTATAAGCTGATGAGCAGTTCTCAGAAACAAACACACTCACCCCACTGGTGTGGTCAGGAACTAAAGAGGAAAGAGTTTGTTGAGCATCTGCACTGAGATTTAGACCCATAAACTCATTCAGCTCAGGGTACAACCTGCTAGAAGTAGCTAAAGAGAGAGAGAGACAACATAAAAAAAAAATGGTCTAAGCTACATGGATGCAAGTGAGAAAAATCGGATAACTAAAATGTGTTTCCATGAGTTTTCCAAGTCTGAAAATTTAAGTTTTGAAATTTTCATATTTCCTGATTGTTCAAGACTGTACGAACCCTATATATTCAGTAACACTTTAGTTTAGAGAACAGTTTTAACTATTTGCTTATTAGCATGCATATACGTAAAGTATCCCCATACCTAAACTTAAGAAAACTTTACTGTTAATAAGCAGAAAATTAGGAGTTTATTGAGGCAAAAGTCACAATTTATAGTGAGAATTGGTCCCCAAACTGAAGTGTGACTATATATTCTAAAGCCTCTTGTGAAGTACCCATGGTACCCTTTGAAGCTCAGCTTTAGGGTCTAAGCCTCTTTTCTGTCATATATTACGTAATCATACATACAGCACAGTATGTGATTCTTACCCATCTCTTCAGATTTTGAATCATAGTAAGGTTCATTCTGGCATCTGGAAGGTTCGGGAAGAGGTAAAGCCTTTAATGGGCTTGCAGTGGGGGTGTTCTGTGCCTACAGAAATGTTACATTTTGGATTGTTAGATATATTTTAATTAATTAATAGATATAATTAATAGATATAATTAATTAATGTCTAACCTGCATGAACTTATCCACCTTCATGTCTTCTAGAGATGGATACAGTGACATGGTTATCATGTTTCAAGCACACTAGATGAATTTCCTGAAGAAATGTTAACTTTTAGTTCATGTAACAATAGAAATACAATTTAACTTACCGTCCAAAAACATAAAACACGTCATAGAAACGTAGGCCAGACAATCATTATTATTATTATTTTATTTATTATTATTATTATTACAATTTCCTTATCGCTGTAGGCCTACATGTTTTTGGGTGCATCGCAGATAACTTAAAGGGGTCATATGATGTTGCTAAAAGGAACATTATTGAGTGTATTTGGTGTAATGAAATGTGTTTATGTGGTGTAAGGTTCAAAAAACACATTATTTTCGACATACTGTACATTATTGTTTCTTCTCTATGCCCCGCCTTTCTGAAACGCGTCGATTTTTACATATATGTGGATAATAGCTACTTTGAACAAAACCCACTTTTATCTTATTGACAAAGTACATGAATTAGTGGTCATGATATAGGAATTTCTAACTTCAATACCTTGAAAAATATCAATATCAAAGTACCAGTGAACCGGAAGTTGCAACTGACTTCAGTGTTGTGATGTATTTCCAAGTGAAACGGAACATTGAATAAAGGGCGGGATTTTATTTTGGTGCACCTCCACTCCACCTCTTGCTCACAGCAGATTCATGGTTGGATAGGAGTGGTTAAAGGGGTCCTATTATGCTCTTTTACAAAGTCTTGATTTCGTTTTGGGGGTGTACTAGAACATGCTCTCATGCTTGGTGGTTCGAAAAACGCATTATTTTTCACATAATTTACAATACCTTTCTCCCCAGCCTGGCATAAACGGCTCGATTAGTTCCGGGTTTGATGAAGGCCCGCCTTCCGAAAAACGAAATATGTTGTGATTGGTTAGCTGTCCCAGTGCATTGTGATTGGCGAACAGCTTAGACAGTGTTTCAGTACTTCCCCGCCCCTTGCCCAAGCAGCAAGTTCCATCTGCTCTGGTATAATTAAGGATGATATTCTCAGACCCCTAGAATATTGAACAAGAGGATCGCGCCAAACCTTTGCACGCACGGTTATTGCAAGACATATTAGAGTGGTAATGTTATTGTTGTTTTTTTGGCTTAAGGATGGCGTCAATATTGCCATATCAATTTGAGCCGGATTCAGACCCCGAGAATATTGAACAAGAGTATCACAAAGAACCTTTACACGCACGGATATTGCAAGACATATTAGAGTGGTAACGTTATTGTTGTTTTTTTGGCTAAATCATGTTTTAGATAGGATGTCAACAACCGCTTAAAAACAACTGTATTTACTATGTACAGATAAGTGCAACAGTAATATGTATTACATCGTGGAAACGGCATACAACTACTTTGAAATGTAAATAACACACACACACACAACAACAAATAAAGCAGCACACTTACAGGCTGTGATGCAGATACAGCAGATTTTCCCGACAAAGTGGGAACTGCTCCGTCTTTTAGCAAAAGCTTTTTGGCAAAACTAGCACTGTACTCCCTCATGACTCCTCTCAAAACTTGATGCTACAGCAGCACTTCTTCGTCGTCGTCTTGTCTGACGCACTCAACCAAGTGTTCCAACCACGACCTCGCCCCTTCCCACCCCCCAACCATTAAAATTTTCGTAGGCGGGATGATATATTTCGTAGGCAGGATGATATATATTTTAATGATATTCTAATGGGCCGCTTTGTGACATCACAAACCCCGGAAAACAACGCTGTAGTCCAAACGAGCCATTCGTTGTAGTTTTTGAAAAAGGATTTAAAAAAAATGAAATATCTCCCTTTGGATTGGACTTTGAGATTTGTAACTTTGTAGATCTTTTTTATGCCCAAACATGCACACTACACACTGACTAAAATTCAAAAAGTGAAAAAGCATAATAGGAACCCCTTTAAGAATATCTGCTTGTTACGTCTAACATCATGCTTCACCGCTTCTGGGTCCTAATGCTCTGCCAGACACCCCCCCAAAAAAAAAAAAAAAAACTGTGCATATTAGGGCTGTGCAATGAATTGAAAAACAATTTCAATTTTGGTCTCCAACGATTATGAAAATACAATAAATCGAGATAAAACTATTATTACGCCCCCATTCCGCCCCCTTTTCCAGCGCTGCGCTTTCGTTCCCCCATAAAAGCCCAATTTCACGTGCAAATCAGTAAAATCATGTAATGTGACTTTTGCAAAATGGGACGTGCTCGATTTATATAAGTATATTTATTCATGTTTTTAAAAGCGTGAAAGAGAACTTGCGCTGCACCTCAGGAAGATATAGGCGCTCAGAATCTGAACAGAACACAGACATGTGAAGTCAACTTTTAGCCCAAGGTGCGCGCCTAAACGGACAAATACACGCAAAAATGTGTCAAAATGCGGCGCTTGGTGATTATTCATGTATACCTTCGTTGGTCATGTAATAAATGAACGTAAAGAGTTTAGAATAAAAATATGCGTGTAATGGTAAATTGGATCCGTGCGGCTCTTAAAGTGACAGCGGGCTATTTTCCTGCTGCGACTGTGCTTGATATTAATCAAACAACAAAAAACTAATTCTAAATCACACACTGCTCTTGAGTGAAGGACTTCTGTAGCTTTAATAAAAAAAATTAAAAAAAAGTTTAATTCTTACAGTGAAGACTATGCTGTTTTATTTTACATTTGATTATTCATTTCTGTAGTAGGCTGTAAACTGCTTGAGACTTGCATAAAAAAAACATTAAAGTCCGCTTGAAATCAAAATTGACTTTATTTACTTTATTAGTGCACATTGCTAGTATAATTGATATGCATCACCATCTTTAAATAAATCACTCATAAAGTTTTGGTCATATGGCCCCCTCATAATCGTGTTAAATAACCATGATTACAATATTGGCCAAAATAATCATGATTATGATTTTTGCCATAATCAAGCAGCCCTAGTGCATATACACACGCATGATGTCATGTAATACTGAAAAATTACAACCCTAACCTTTATCTCCATACTGAAATCCCAGATGGCCTGACAGTGATTCAGCTAAAATATTAGTGTCTGAGACACTGTGAGCACAGAGACTGTAGTGTGCACAGCAAATTATTAAATGCTTAGCTTAAATATGTAACATTAATTAAATAGTGCTCATAAATGGCTGCTGAGATAGTATTCTCAAGTGAAAT